CTGTCAAAACTCCCAACCGTACTCTACATATTTTTTTTCAAATACACAAATTCTACGGCTCATCTGACTACCCAACAGTCTAATCCTCCCCCCAAAACATTTAAAGTACAAAAGATTAGGAGGTACTCACCAAATTTTGAAGGAATTTTGCAGAGTCGAATCCAAATGCAGGCGGTAGCCATCTTAAAAACAAGCCTCATAGATCAGCCGAAAATGTTCCTGCTGAGCTATTTGTATGTAAATACATCCCGCATTGATTACTCTTTAGGGTAACGCTTTGCAAACTTACTCAAAATCACTCATCATAACATTTCCCCCAGTTACATGCCGAAGTCAACCCAGGGTGATACAGGTTAGATACAGGTTATGCATACCTCTTGGTTCATAGCAAAAAAATTGTTGTTATTGTTGTTGCTATTGTTGTTGTTGTTGCTATTGTTGTTATTGTTGCTGCTGCTTCTGGTGCTGTTGTTGTTGTTGCTGCTTTTGTTGTTGTTGTTGTTGTTGTTGTTGTTGTTGTTGTTGTTGTTGTTGCTGTTGTTGTCGTCGTCTTGTCGTCGTCGTCCTTCTTCTTCTTCTTCTTCTTCTTCTTCTTCTTCTTCTTCTTCTTCTTCTTCTTTTCGTCCACAAAATATATCCCAGATCTGCGCTATTTATCCATCTTATGCCTGTTTCGCTGTCTTTGCTCTGTCTTATTATAATTCACAGTTCCTAAATACAGACGATAAAAATACACCCTTGTCTAACTCCACCATTTACCTCAAAAGATGAAGACAGTTCGTGGGTCAGCTGAAAGCAACACCACAGATGCAGAACCTTTAGGCGGCAGTAGAAAATGAGCACAGGAAAGGTGGGCAGAGCCTGGGTGTTAGCAGTGAACAGAAAATGCCAAAAGAAAATGACATTGCACTAGGGCTCAAACTGCAAAGTTGCCCTCAATCCTGGCTGCTTTGAGGTGTACAACTCAAAACTGAACCGAAAGAAGCAGCTGACTCAATCAATTCTTGAGTATATTGAGCTGTTCATAAAGCTGCTCACAGCAGCACATTTTCACTCGTTCAGTTGAATTTTCTAATTTCCGTTGAATTATATTTATCAAGGATCACGCCTGTCTGAACAGGCGTTAAGATCATTGAAGAAATACCATTGAACTGTTTAGTGAGTGTATCGGGGTGTAGAATTTGTTTTGAAAACTTTTCCTTTTTTCAGCCTCCTCTCTCCTTTGTACTGTTGACGACTTTCGTCAAAGAAAGTAAATGTAGTCCTAAAAATCATGTCCGTGTTGACAAAGATTTGAACTTTACTTTACAACAAAATACAAACGTCCATGATATACAACAATGGAGATTCATTTCTTTAAAAATACCAAAAAATCGCGCGTTTTCATGGAATAGCGCACACAAAATAAGTGGCGTTCTAAGGGAATGCACATGGGGAAAGCCGCGCGTAAAGGTTACATGTGTTCGTGCAGCTCATAGACCTATTATTAGGCTAATAATAGGTATGTGGTGCAGCTATAAGAATCCACAGTGCCAACATTGTGAGCACTGTGTCCGCCAGGTAGCCACGGGCCTAAGGGCTGTATGCAAATGGAATGACCATTAGTTGAGATTTACATCCCTTACAACACAGTGAGGTTATTTGAGAGACGCCATCTCAAATTTCAACGTCAGCCCGCCATAAAACATTGACTTCATGGGAGCCAAGTATAAAAGCCAATAGAAACTGAAAAATAAATTGGTTTTACTCGCTTCTTATCGTCTCGTGTGGGATTTGAGCCAAGGAGGACCTTTTGCTCTGCTGGCGAGTGAGGCAGCAATGAAATTAGACTAGATTATGGAGATTTAGTACTTCATATGGAGATACGACATTTGCACTTTTTGGCATTCAGTTAAATTTTTCAGAAAACTGGGTTTTCTTTTAAAACAAAAACCTTTTCCCAATTTCACAGGGAAACAGCAATCTGTGAAAACTTTTAAAGTTGAAACATTGATTATACACACAAACAATGGGTAACAGTTAGATGAATCAGTTGGTGATTGATTTGAATCTGGAACCATCTTAAACTTTGAAGGCCTATTTCTCAAAACCGTAGTTCATGGACATACGACAGTTGTACTCTGGGCGACGACATAGTAAGTTCAAATGCCACATAGAAAGGTTCACGCCACATAGAAAGTTCAAATGTTCAATAGGAAATTTTAGTGCACGATTGTGCGTAACAAGTTCAAATGTACAAATAGCAAATCCAAATGTAACACAATAGCAAGTTCAAATGCCACATAGCCAAAGCAAATATCCTCCACAAAGATTATTGAGTTTGCGAAGCATTTTAATGTGCTCAAACTGAGTTGACGAAAACCACAAGCAGTATTACTTTAGGGTTGAATAGATCACCATCAAATAAAATCCCAAGGATGCTCCTGCGGAAAGAAATTCTGATAGGACTGAAGCAACCAGACATCAGTATGTAGCATGGCTGATACTGAACATCTAGCGGTATGAATTTGCCTTCATTGATGAGGCTGGTATCAAGCTGTTGACGAAGAAAAACCGAGGAAGAACACGGAGTGGTCAATGCTTTGTTCGAATATTGCAGCGTCGAAGGGGACTGAACCGCAGGACGACATTAATGTTGTCAGTGCCGAGGGTGGTCTGGTCTTTCACGTCTTTCAAGTAGAGGGAATGGCAGCTATCCTTTCAATCCATCCCTTTAAGAAACTGTTCCAACAATCCCCACAACGAAGTATATTTGGTATATGACAACGCTCGTGCATTAAGGCAAGCTTTAAATTGCAACTCATCAATAGATTGGGAGTGAAATATCTTCCCCTCTACACACCTTTTCTTAACATCTACGAGAACGCTTGTGTTATCATAACCATTATTTTTTTGTTTGAACTTGTTTATTTTCATTTTCATTTTTATTTTTATTTCTTATTTTTTTGCTTCATTTAACAATTCCGTTTCATCAAATAGACTCGAGGTGAAATATCTTGCTATCTGCATACCTTGTCTTACCATTTGTGAAAATGTTTCTTAATTTGGAAATACGATTTAGTTGCGTGGGTAGCATAGCGGTTAGGCTATCGGACCTGTAATCGTGAGATTCGGGTTCGGAGGTTCGAACCTCAGTTCGGTCCGCGTTGTGTCCTTGGGAAAAGGCACTTTACACGAATTTCCCGTTCTGATTGGTCCTTTCGGAGATAGACTTTGATCTCGGAGGTCCTGCCTCTTAAATAACCCAATAGCTATACAATTTCACCTTTGAAACATTGTTTTTTGGAAATACGATTTGAAACAGATGTTTTCTGAAGCAAGAGAGTAAATGATCATCACTCAGCAGACTCACCGACAACTGCCCAGTTGATGGAACAAAAAACACAAGCTGTGACTATAGCGAAAATGGCAGCAGTCTTCAGGTCAATGCAAGCCTATATGCCACAGCGTTTTGTAGTGCAACAATAAGTAAATAAAAGTAAACTTGGCTTTAGATTTTATCCAGTTAGTTATATATCCACCAGCAGTTTTTTGATTTTTTTCATAACCATTCGTTGTTCCTGTTTAAGCATTTTGGTTTGTTTTCGGGTAAAAAAAAAAAGAACAATTAGTTTCGTTTCATGCGGTTTCTTCGTTGTGGCACCACACGGCTTATATCTAACTTTTTCGTGGCAACCCCCCCCCCCCCCAAACCCAAACCCTTTTACTTCTTACCTTGAAACTCTTCTTATACTTTTAGCTTCCTTTTTTCCATGTCAAGCATATTTAGATTTACATTTGAAATTGCTATGTAGCAACTGAATTTGCTAAGTTTTACATTTGAGATTTCTATGTTTACATTTGAAAATGCTATTGTTGTATTAGGACATTTTATGACGTCATTTGTATATTTGGATTTGTTAGGTGTAATTTGGTCTTTCTATGCGGTATTTGAATTTGTTATGTGTATATTTGAACTGAAGAAACTATAGAAAAAGTCAATACGATAAAGTTTGATTTAAAGTAGATCTATCCAACGACACTGCGAAGCACACATCCAAACAGAGTCAGATATCGGTTTTCTTGATCTGGAAAAATAGTAGAGGCACATACACGACGAAGCACGAATCGAAACGGAAGTAGTCCTCAGTAAAATATGAAATGGCTAAAGGTAGAGTGAAAACATCCGAGAGCTTCGATTTAAAGGAAAAACCATCAAACCTGAAAAATAAAAAGATAGTTTCCGAACTTTAAAAATATGCCCACGTATCCTTTGTGACAAATCGTAACTGAATCATATTTTTTTGTAGATTTAATGGGCACTTGTGTAAAACATGTATACTGACCTCACAAACGGGCTTAGCTCCATTATAATAAAAGGTGTACTTTTTTCAAAGACTTCATTAAATAATAAAAGTAAAATCTCACAACCTTCTATACTTTTCCCTGGATTTTTAATTAAAAAACTTTTTTTTAAATTTCGTTTTTGTGACAACTGATTACATTTTCAGCTTGGTTATTACATCCGTTAGTTTATATCTATTTCCTTCATTGTCTGTAGCTCGTCAAAGTCGAATTCATTCACGGGGGTGGTTTATTTAAAGTCTTTTGAAACTGTTCTGCTCATCGATCTTTCCTACCTTCTAAAGGTGTTGCCATGGAGCCATCTTTCTTTTCTACTAGTCACTCTGATGAGTTTCCAAAGTCTCCAGCCAGTCTTTTGGTGATCTGGCACAATTCTCTCATGCTGTTTCTGTTTGCTGTGTTTTGAACTTTAAGAGCCTTTTTCTATATATTCCCTTTTTATTTTCCCTTTTCACCTTCTGTTTGACTGTTTTGACTTTTTCTCTGTATTTCTCCAAGGTCTCCATTTTATCAAATTGAAGCGGCTCGCAGTATTTTCAATTTTGATCCCTTTCTGACTGTCATAGCTTTCCTTGACCATATTGTTATAACTGCTCCGATCGTTGACACGTCCAGAAACTGTTTACATAGGTCTATTTTTTTCCCCATTATTTCAGGATGATGCACTGAGGGGCCTTGGAAAGCTGAAAGAATTAAACCTGGAGAATAACAATATCTATACAAGACGTCTCTCCAGGACCTTATTTTCTCACGTTCCAAATTTGGAGAACTTGTACCTGAAGGGGAACACATGGGAAAATGAAGGCACTCGGGAATCTCCTTCCAGTTCCGCTGTCCCATTCTCTAACCTATCGCTTCTGACAAGGTTGTCAATTGACGGAGACTCAGAAATATACTTCGGCCAACCGTTTTTCAAACTCAAGAATTTGACGTACCTGTATGTATATTGTCCGCATGACGTGATCAAAGGGTCGAACCGCAGTTTTGAAGGTTTCAGAGATGTGGCTCTCAGAGAACTAGTGTTAGAAAGCCCCACTCAAGAAGCGTATTTTGAAACTGGAATTTTTGCCAATGTTCAAAATCTAGACATTCTTCGAATCCATGATGTCGCTATCGGAAACCAAAATATCATGAAATGTCTATGGCCTTTTGAAAACAAAGGAATGGTTTTAATTGACCTCTATAGAGTAAACTTGCGCCATCATCGAGCCTCTCCAAAAGCAACCTGTAATGACGGACTCATGACAAAAGAATCGCTTAAACATCTCTCTAACATATGTCTTTCCCAGCTGATTTGGGATGCATCCAAAGTGGTTGGTATAGAACCCAGGGCACTAAGCGTAAAACCAAATCTTAGAAAATGTCTGAAGAGTCTTCGATTTACCAGAAATTTGATTGGAAAAATGGATCAGTGGCGAAGTCTCATTTTGGAACTGATAGGATTTGAATCATTAGAGGAGCTGCAATGGGGTGCTCTCGACTGGTGTGGCCCGGGATACGATTTCAAGTTCAGGAATGTTCAAAATGTCAGAAAATCTGTAAAGGAAACAAATTACATCTTTGATACCAAACATACATCAGTGACCCTAACACATGCACTTCCACATTACAGTAATCGGAATAATGGAAATTCAAGAGAAATACTTACTATACCTAGTGGGAACAGATCATTGCTTGGAACGCCAAGTATACGTTTTCCTAGAGAAAGGGAGCGGACTAGATTCACAAGAAGCAGCTTCTTCCGATGCCCAAAACATCTTCAGTCTTTGATTGTTGTTGGTCTTGATGGGTATTTGAGGATTCCAGCTTGCCACATAAGAGACGGTCACAATGTAAAAGAAATTCGAATTGTCAGCTGTGATTTCATTGAATGGAGCGGCCACGTGACAGGATTGGAAAATGTCACCTTGATGGACTTCACACGATCTCACGTGATCAGCCATCCAAATTTTGTCCCTTTTCAAAATTTCCCGAATTTGGAAACTCTATTACTAAATGCCATGTCGGGGAGCGACTTTATCGATCAACTTTTGAAAGAGAGTTGGCTGGAGAAAACGCCAAAACTCCAACACATCGACCTACGTGACAACCATCTCCATAAATTACCAAGTTCTGTTTTTTCTTCCAACTTGAGAATGAATTCAATACTTTTGTCGAGCAATCGGTTGACATCGTTAGGGTTTGACCTTTCAACTACACCAAGCCTGGGCGTCTTGGACCTGCGCAAAAACGCAATCTCTTCCTTAGACATCGCCTCCAGGACAGCATTAGACACACACGCTCAAAGCAAACCCGACTTTTCTCTGCTGCTGGAAGGCAATCCGATATATTGTATGTGCTCACGGGTTCCTTTTCTGGGTGAGTAGAGAGCTGCCTTCTTCATAATATTAGCCTGACATCCTCATAGGGCACCACCACCACCACCACCACCACCACCAACAATGACAACATCATCAACAACAACAACAACAACAACAACAACAACAACAACAACAACAACAACAACAACAACAACAACAACAACAACAACAACAATTGGTTGACGTGACAATTGACGATATCGATCGCCGTCAATCTATCTGCTGGACCATATACGTCAGTATGGCTTCACCGTCTATTTAATTTGTGTCGATTATTTTTTTTTTTGAGGGGGGGGGGGAGGGTGAGTAGAACAGTAGTAATCAATCACAGTTGATCAAACTATTTTATTCTGTATTTGTATGTTTGTCGACCTGTCCTCGTCTCACAGTCTGGCTTGGTGGCTCTTCTGGTCTAGAGGTTAGTAACTGTTGTTGGCCTCTCATTCAATAGATCACGGGTTCGAGACCTGACAGCGACGTAACATTTTTTTCTAAAATGTTCTCCTTTCAGCTTTTTTCCTGCCATCCAACCATATTATGTCGTCTGCTTTTGTCTGCACTTTCTCCCTCCTCCCCCCTCCCTTTGCCCCCTCCTCTGGCATCCTGACTCTTTCTGTAGCTTTTCTACTGCTACTCATTGGCCCCTTCTTGCTGCTGTCTTTCAGCCACACTCCTGATCTTATGGTAGGTAAGATCTAACACCTAGCCTTTTCGGATAAGGGAGAAAAAATCTCGGAGGTCCCATGTGCAGGTTGCGCACGTTAAAGATCCCTTGGTGGTCCTAAAATCGATAAGAGTAGGCTTCGGCCGCTACTCGGGCAAAATTCAACATTCCTACCAAACTGAAAATGTCTAATGTGTCTTGAGCGCTCATATGACCTTATGTAGTTGCAAGCACCGTGAAGCACTTACCAAAAGAAAACAAATAAAGAAGTCTGGCTCCACTTGTCTAAATTGTGTCGACGGGCGTGTAAAAACACCTACATTTAAGGAAAAATGCTACAAAAATTGGGCTCCTTAAATTTTTTTTTCCAAGTGTGCAACGTTTGCTGTTATAACTATCTTCAGTGTAACTGAGGGTAATAGCCGGGGATTTGAAAGGGTAGAATCACCATTCCTTGGCAACTGAGAGGAATATTATGTAAAGGTTTCTTTTTTTCACACTATTTTTACGGTCTAAGTAAACTGTCTCTTTTTTTTTATTCTTCTCGATCGCACCACACTTGAAGTCCGGCATCTGTCATAAATTGGGCCGTCCTGCTCAGTTCATCTGTCGGCCCGTATAGCTTCTCTTGTACTGTCAATGGAGTTGGCCACGTTTCCTGTCTCAGGGCCTTGTGTGTCATGCAGTGCTGAAGGATGTGTTCAACAGTTTGGTCCGCCTCTCCACACTGGCATTTTGGTGATTATACTAGTTTAAAACGTCTGTACATAATATGTACTAAGAACACGACACACAAGACTGAGACAACATATTAAGTTGTCTCAGTCTTGTGTGTTGTGTTTTTAGTCGGAAGATAATCACTTGTTCTTGGCGGGACAGCTGATGGTAGCTATCTTATGCTGTGGTGCTTTAAATGGTGTATTTTTATAGTTTTTATTTCTGTGTAATCGACACTGTTGACTGGTTGCTCTTTCAGTGCTCCTAGTTTGGCCATCCTGTCTGCCTGTTTATTTCCTAAGACACCACAGTGCGATGGAATCCATAGCTGCATTATCCTCAGACATGGGATGTCCTCAATTACATCTCGCAGCCTTGGTACTTTGCCGGCAGTGACTGCCTGCAGTACTGACATAGCATCTGTTAGGAATACTACTTGGCTTTGGGGGTCTACCACATCCTTGATGATGTTTGCTGCATGTGTTAGAGCCTCCATCTCTGCCCTGTAGTTTGTACAATGTCACCCTGTTGGGACTGCCTCTCTGTGTATTTTTCTGCTTTCTTTGATGGAGTCGGTTCTTTTAAGTCTTGTGGTGTTTGATCTGGCTGTTCTTGTGAGCATTATATGATCCTCCATAGCTGTGGCCTTGGTGTACTGTATGAGGGCCTTGCACTCCCATCTCCTCCGCAGGGCCACTATAGATGTTGTTTGCTCCGTCTTTTCAGTAGGCGTTGACCTCATTTCTCCAGTGATTATACGGAGAGCATGGTTTTGCACTTTTCCAGAGTGTATTTGTGAGTTTGTGCTGCAGTCACCCATGCACTGGATCCGTACTCGAGATGGGGCCTGATTGCACCCAGAAAGACCTGTCTAAGTGTTTTTTCATTTGCTCCTCACTGAGTCCCTGCAAATTTTCTCATGACGTTAAGCTTCTTCCTGGCTTTAGTTTCTGCATTTTGAACGTGTTGTTTCCATGTGAGACGCTTGTCATAGAATATTCCAAGAAACTTCTGTTGGTTCTCAAACTTTAGGGGAGGGGGGGGGGGCTGTCCAATGTGAGCTTTTTGGGGCTCAGCCTGGCTGAGAGTGAAGAGTGTAGCAGAAGACTTTTCTTTGTTTACGGTTACACACCAGGTTTTTGTCCAAGTAGTGAGTTTGTTCAGTGCTAGTTGGCTGCGACATGTGGCAGTAGTGACGAAATCACCAAAGCCCCAAAGAACCAGGTCGTCTGCATACAATTCGGCATGTATTCCTTAGGGTAGTTCTTTCACGAGGTCATTGATGAAGAGGATAACGAGCAAAGGTGACATGACTCCACCTTGGGGTACTCCTAGTCTCAGCAGCATTTTTTGTCCTTGATATCCACCCACCATCACACGTGTTCTTCGGTTGTGTAGATAGGATTTGGTCCATTGGTACATGTTGCCTTGGATACCACTTCTGATGAGCTTCACTAGTAGACCCTTCGGCCAAACCTCGTCAAACGCTTTTTGTAGATCAATAAATGTTGCTAGCATAACTTTCTGTGCCCTGAAGGAGTCCTCTATAACTCGGGACAAGTAAGTTTCTGGCCCTCTGTGCTCCTGAGCTGACGGAATCCAGCTGGTTTTAGTGCTAGGATGTGTTGTGCCTCTAGGTACCACTGCATTCTGCAAGCTATGGTGCTCTCCATTGTCTTACATACACAGCTTGTGAGGCTGATAGGTCTATAGCTTAATAGTTGTCCCTTCCTTTTCTGTGGCTTGAGGATCGGGATCATCGTTGCTTCTTTCCACCACCGGAGTACTTTCCCATTTTTCCAGCTTAAGTTGAATATATCCAGTGGAGTCTGTAAGGCTGTATTGCCCAGGTGTTGTAACATTTCGTTTGTAATTTCATCGGGGACTGGTGGGTTTCTTTGCTTTAGTTGATTTTTTGCTTTGTTCAGCTTTTCCGAGGCGATGTCCTTCTTCATTGCGACCGGAATGTTTTTTTGTGGTTCTTTTCCTTGTTTCCCTCTGGTCTGACTTGTTTTGTCTCTCTCTTGGTATTTTGATATTGCTTTCTTGAGCATATGCCTTTACAAAGGTATGTGCTGCCCTTTTCTCCATTTCCATCTCTCCTTCAACTTCTAGAGTGATCTCCTTCAACTTCTAGAGTGATCTTGGCACTTTTATTTTCTTCGTCGTTTAGTTCCTTTACAAGCCTCCATAGTTTTTTGGTGTCCTTTTCCAAGTTAAGTTTCTGCGTTTTGTCTCTCCAGCTTTTCCTGGTGCACTCCAACATGGTTTTGAAGAAGTGAGTTTTACACCTCTGTAGCTTGTAGTTGTTTTCTATACCTGGATGTGATTTGGCTTCTTCTCTGGCCTTGATGAGGTCGTTATGTATTTTCTGGAGTTCTGGCGTCCATTATGGGGTGTAATTTTCCCTTACCCCTCTATGTATGGTTTCTTTTGCTGACTTAAGGATGTTTTCATTGAACTCTGTGATGGCATTGTTTATGTTTTTGTCGAAGACTACGATGTTTTTTGTCAGCTCATTAGTTTTTATGCTGAAAAGTCTGCAGTTTGCCTTTTTGTAGTTCCATCTCGGCCTTTCCGGGCGGTCCTCTGGCAGGCTCTCTACTATGGTAAGGAGAACACGGCGATGGTCACTTCCCCCAAGCTGGGTTTCCACTTTTATACTTAGATGTCTGTGCAAGTTTTCAGTGCAGAGTGCTATGTCTGGAGTTGTAGTTGAATGCCAAGCCCGAGAATAAAATGTGGGTTGATCTAAAGGATCGTTCACAAGCAGAAGATGGTTTTCATCTTGCCAAGCCTCTATTTCTTCTCCTCTACTGTCTAGTCTGTTATAACCCCAACTCTGGGACTGACTGTTGAAATCTCCAGCGATGAGGAAGTGAGAAAATGACACTTGAAGGTAAACTGCCAGATTTCATAAGATTTTAGTACTATAGGTACTAACGGTTTCCACATTTTTGACCAGTAGGGTTCTCATTTTGCATGATGTTTTTTTTTTACATATTGCAACATTATGTCAACTCTATATAAGCATAGTCTTAGTAGTTTTGTTTTGTCAATTATTTCTATAACCCCCCCCCCATAAATGTTCGCCTTTTTTCTGATACAGCACACAAAATATGTTGCTAAAAAAATGTAACACAAATATGCAGTTTTCTCGTTGACAAAAGTCTTGTACATGTATCGTAGTAGTTGATAATGTGACCAAATAACAAATAAATTGCTTGAAACAGGAAAAAAACCTTAGCAGAATTTTGCAGTGCCCTAAATTTTGGGGTAATCGTTACATAATATTCCTCTCAGTCGTCGATGAATGATGGTTTCATCACATTCAAATACCTGACTAATACTTCCGAGCAGTGATACCACAGGAAATTATGTAGATGGAGAATCTAAAAATAAAGAAATTTCAGTATGTAGCACCTTACCTTTACCAACTTTGAATAGTTGATCGATCTATTTTCGTATGTATGTTGATCTGTCCTTGTCTGTCTATCAGTCTGGCTACACTCATCTAAACGGTGTTGATGGAAAGGGAGGGGGTAAAAGCACGTACGTCTAATCTATTTTCATCCGTTGATGGGTCTATATATCTCTGTGGACTTGTCCTTGTCTCTCAGTCTGGCTCAGCACGTCTATATTGTGTTGATGGGCACGTAAAAACACCTATTCAATTTATTTTCAACCGTTGATAGATCTATTTTTGTATGTTTATTGATCTGCCCTTGTCTCGCGTGTTTCTCCCTCAGTGTGGCTCCACACGACGTGGGTGAGGCTGGACATGTCCGGGAACTACTCGTGCATCGACGACAGAGGGCAGGACCGGTGGACCTCTGACCTGATCACGACCAAGGCGTTGTGGCGTCGCTGTGTCGGGAAAACGTTTCTCCTCGTCTCTCTCAGCCAGGCCTTAAGCCTTATCGTGGGTTTTCTGGCCGTCTACATGTGGCGGCGGTTCAGGACTGCGGTGTGGGCGTTCTTTCTCAACATCTTGGCTCCTGGTTTCAGGTGATACAGCCAACCTCCCTTGTGTTGACCTCTCTTGAGTTGATATCTTTTTCTCTTGTCCCAGCACCTCTTCTTCTTTCCATGTCCCAACGATCAAGTTGAACTTAGCTTTTCATGTCCCAACAGTCAAGTTGAACTTAACTTTCCATGTCTCAACGATTAAGTTGAACGTCGGATGAGTTGATCTCCTCACTTCCCCAACGACATCAACCCACCCGTAGTTGACTATAACATGCTTAGCTAAGCGGTCCTTTGCTTTTCATTTTTTAATTTGTTGTTGTTGTTGTTGTTGTTGTTGTTGTTGTTGTTGTTGTTGTTGTTGTTGTTGTTGTTGTCTTTCTCTGGAACTACAACCGAGTAAAGACGTCAGGGATTGACAAGACTACCACAGAACTACAAAGCTCTATCTGCTCTGTTCCTAGTTTTGAGAAATTTGAGGTCAACATTTTTGATGTTCACAACATGTCAAGCTTTTTCGTATGCAATTCTTCGAACTTCTTGATAACTACTCCGAATAACCTTACGATTTTTTAATTACGAAATAGGACATAATTCGGTTTCTGATTTCATGGTCTTAGTAACTCAATACGGTCATAAATGTCAGATAGAACTTTGTAATTCTAAGGTAGCCAAGTGTGTGCGACACATCCTTAATTAGGATAAACCGTTATAAGAAATAACGAAATATTAAGGAGCAATCAGTCGAAGAATCATTTTACGAGCTATCCGTGAAAAAAACGCAAATGTAGATGGTATAGACACCTACCAAGATCATTAGGCCTTGCAAAGATGATTCTACAGGGCACTGTAAAAGGAAGGAGAAAGAAAGGCAGATAGAATGGAAAGGTTTAAATTTGGGCAAAGCCCTCCAAAAGATTAAAAATAGAAAAGGATGAAGAACCGTGGTTGCCAGATCATCCTTGGTGTCCCACTGGTCATCTGCCCTAAGGGAAAAGAAAATAACTAAATTGTTTGTTATTGCAATGTCACCAACAATCATTGTACCCTGGTTGGTACGGTTGGTTCCTCAGTCTGTAAACAACAACATAGCCAGTGGCGTAACCAGGAGCAGTAAGTTGTGACTGTGTTTTCCTCCTTCTCTCCCTCTTTTTTACCTGCCGAAGAGTGGAGGAGGAGAAGGAGGAGGAGGAGGAGGAGGAGGAGGAGGAGGAGGAGGAGGAGGAGGAGGAGGAGGAGGAGGAGGAGGAGGAGGAGGAAGAGAAGGAGGAGGAGGAGGAGAAGGAGGAAGAGGAGGATGAGGGAGAAAAGATGAAGAGATGTAAAAGGATGAGGAGAGGGAGTAGGAAAAGGAAAAAGGTGAGGAAGAGAAGGAGGATGAAGAGTAGGAGAAGGAGAAAATCGAGGAGAGGGAGGAGGGGGAGCCATGACGAGGAAGAGGATGAGAGGAAAAGGAAGAAGAGGAGAAGAAGGAGGGAGAGGAGGAAGAGAAGAAGGAGCAGGAAGAGAAGGAAGACCAATGTCGTGAAAAGCATGACGAAATTCTCCACGTCACACTTCAAGCATGCTAGCAGAAACAGTGACGAAAACAACACGTACATTTCCTCTAGAAAGGTAATGTTTCTAAACTACCACACACCCCCGCCACCTAATAGACTCATTATTAACCTTCAGGAAAAACATTTGACAAGTACGTGCAGTAATAACGAGTTATCTCTCTTTACGTGTCTTTCAGGAAGACAAAAATGGAGGATTGTGGTATTCATGTGTTTGTTGGATATGCCGATGATGACTTCCGCTTCGTTCGCTTCGTCCTTCGCAGGTTTTTTTTTTCTCTTCTTCCAAAGTTAACGGCACGATCTTTAAAGATGATTTTATTGTGGATATAAACCAAGAAATTATCGTAGATAGATAGATAGATAGATAAATAGATAGATAGATAGATAGATAGATAGATAGATAGATAGATAGATAGATAGATAGATGGATAGGTAGATAGATAGATAGGTAGATGGATAACTTGGACAAAGAAGTCCTGTTATTCTGCATGAAAATGAAAACCCTGACAACGAAACCCTTTTATTCTGTATGCGAACTTTAACAAGTCCTATTATTATTATTAATATTATTCTGACTGAGAACTTTAACAATAAAGTCCTATAATTCTGTATGAGAACTTTGACAACAAAGTCCTATAACTTTGTATGACAACTATTGACAACAAAGTCTTATAACTCTGTTTGACAATTTTTCCACACAGGTACCTGGAGGAAGATCTGAGCCTGACCACTTACATCCACCAGCGTGACCTGCGCGCGGGCTACCTTGACCAACAGCTGCTGGACGCTATCCAGGACAGCTGGAGACTGGTGTTGGTCTTGTCCGCCAACTTTCTCCGGAGATACGAGAAGGCGCACCTCGTCATGAAGGTTGCTTTTGCCAGTTTGTTTGTTTGCTTGTTTAATTGTTTTATTTGTTTGTATGTATGCTTGTTTGTTTGTGTATCTGTTAGCTAGTTTGTCTTTTTTTTTGCTTACATGAGTAAAGAAAATAATATCGACATAATAATAGTCTGTTGCTTGTTTGTTTGTTAGATTAAAGAGGAAGCCATGAACACAATTGATCATTTAGTCAGGAAATAAATATGACAGACAGACAGAAACAATAGAGGGAAGAAAAGAAGTAGGTTCTACCTGTGGCACTTTTCAACCACCCACTCATGAAGGTAGAAGGTCACTTAAACTATACAAAGGACAACACAGTAACAAAAACGTAAAACCTGCCGGAACATGAAGGAAAGCCGGAGGATCCTACAGGACAATGAAAGTCACTTCTTAGTTGAACTCTAGATCTGGATCCATCTATACTTACCCCACATTTCTTCTTGAGCAAACTTTCAGATGTGAATATCCCCCCAACATTTCTTCTTGGGCAAACTTTCAGTTGGGAATATTTCCCCAACATTTCTTCTTGTGCAAACTTTCAGATGTGAATATTTTCCCAACATTCCTTATTGTGCAAACTTTCAGTTGTGAACATTACCCCAACATTTCTTCTTGAGCAAACTTTCAGTTCTGAAAATCTCCCAATCATTTTTTCTAGGGCAAACTTTCAGATGTGTTAAGTCTCGCGACTTGGGTCTTGGTAACAGCAAACTTGAACTTGAATCAGGAACTCAGGAGTCTTGTATTAGGTCGAACACAACCAAGCAATACATTTTTGGTAAATCTGCAAAAGGAGCAATATCTACACAATTGGTTGTGATATTCACATGTTACAGATCACATCCCTTCACGATAATTGACACTCACACGTCTCGGTCATTCTCACATTGAACATTCCATCATCAGCCTTATGGTGCGCATCTGGCAAATATATAAAATACAAACTTGACATATTATGACCATGAAAATGACATAAATCAACGCGGAAGTATTTCTACAAATGGAAACAGCTTAATAACTAATGTCCTGCAAAGGGAATGAATTTGCAAGCAGGTTTAATTATTTCTCTCACATAACAAGATGTGAACATCTCTCCTACATATACCACTGTGCAAACTTTCAGACGTGAACTGCATATTCATTGTGCAAACTTTCAGTTGTGGACATCTCCTCTACATATCTCATTGTGCAAACTTTCAGATGTGAACATCTCATATTACATATCTCATTGTGCAAACTTTCAGATGTGTACGTCTGCCGTGACCCCGGTGAACCCTGACCGCGTGCTGGTGTTGGTGGAGCAAGGTCAAGGCCGCCATGTCCCCGACTACGTGCTGGCGGTGTTGGACGAGGAGAAGCTGGTCAGACTGCACAGCCTTAACGAGGAGCTGGGATACGAGCAGAAACAACGCATCAAACATCTCATTTTGTCGTAAACCGTACAGCGCATCAAACTTCTCATTTTGTCGTAAGCCGTACAGTGCATTAAACTTCTCATCTTGTCGTGAACGACATAGCTCATTAAAATATCATCTTGTCGTGAACAATGTAGCTCATTAAAATATCATCTTGTCGTGAACAATGTAGCTCATTAAAATATCATCTTGTCGTGAACGATGCAGCGCTTTGAATTTTATCCCAGATACGGCACACCAAACATCACATGAAGTCCTGAACGCTATTATTTCATTTCTTGTTTTTTTTAATTTTTTAAAATTTATTTTTAGTAAAGAAAAGCACATCGACACAATAATGGTCACTTAGTGCTGGGAAAAGTAGGACACACAGACAGAAACAACAGAGGGAAAGTAAAGAAGTAGGACCTACCAGTTGCGCCCTCCAACCACCCTCATTATTTCACGTCAAACATCGAACCTTGTAATGAACGACATTATATCGCACCAAACATCTTATCTTGACGTGATCGATACAGCACATCAAACTTCTCTTCTTGTCATGAACGATATTTATTCATATCAAATATCTTGTCCAGAACAGTATTATATCTCATCAAATATCTGTGCAGAACAATATTATATCTTACCAAATAATTATATTACCTTGTCCAGAACAATATTATATTTCATCAGCATCTTATCTTGTCATGAACGATATTACTCGTATAATACACCAAACATTTCATCTTGTCTTGAGCAATACAGTGCATCAAACTCAAACTTCTCTTCTCAGATATAGCGCATCAAACATTTCATCTTGCAAACATGGTTGCAGTACAGATAAACAATCACATACAATAGCTCGTCCGTCGGTGTCTGACGATGACCAATACATCCTCAGTGGAGAATAGTTCTCACAAGCAGGCAGAAGAATTAGAATAATTAAAGATTACGATGTCAGGGTGTCTTCGTAGCGCTTTTTTGGTGCTTCAACCTTACGCTTCCCTGAGGACAGTTCAGAACAGAATACTGCCTTTGGGATTCTGAAATCAGGCATTCTTACAACATGGCCAGCCCAGTGAAGTTAAGTTCTTTTGAGCTAAGAAATCAGAGTATCAGCATTTGCCCGTTTTAGAACTTCGGTGTGTGGTATTTTATCCTGCCATTTAACGTAAAGAATTCTCTTGAGGCCTTCCACATGGAAATGATTCAGTTTCTTTGCATGGCTTTGGTGCAGTGTTCAGTTTTCGGCACTCGGCACCATACAACAGGGTCGGAATATACAGGGAGATTAAAAACAATACGCTAAAATCTTCACACGATACTGTATTTCAAAAATGAAATTAAAAAAACCCAAACAACCTCTAGCTTGGACACATATGTTGTACATATTTTCAAACTTATTTTTTGTTTTACAAGTGCTCAATGTGGCCACCACTGGCCGTACGTATAACATCTAACCGATAGGAGGATTCCTTCAAGACGCACCTCAGGATGTCTGAGTCCACCGTGTTGATTGTAGCTGTTATTCCATGTTTCTTGTCACTGATATTTGCTGGAAGTGGTGGAACATAAACTTTGTCTTTAACACGGTCAAGTTTAGGATACATTTGTATGTGTATATATATTATCATGCTCTTATATATGGAGTCCCCGAGGGCTCAGTCCTCGGTCCAATTTATCAGGGTCAGGGTCGAGATACATTTGTATTATGTATGGGGTCCCCTAAGGCTCAGTCTTCGGTCCACTTTCTGTTCACAGTTTATACTCAACCACTTGTCAAGGAAATTGTTAAATATGACCTAAAGTATCTTTTCTATGCTGATGACACCCACATTTATGGTTCAACTATTTTTACAAATTTAGATGAACTTGTCCATCATGCTGAAAATTGTATTGCTTCGGTGAAAAAAATAGATGAACAAAAACAAATTGACGTTGAATGATGATAAAACAGATTCATTCTGGCAGACAATGCAAAGTCTGTTAATGAGGTTGACCTCGATCACTTGAAAATTGGTGATGGGGAATTGTATTTTCAAGAAGTTAAAAATCTTGTAAATACATACATAAACACACAGACACACACACATACACACAGACACACACACACACACACACACACACACACACACACACACACACACACACACACACACACACACACACACACACATATATATATATGTATACATAATATACACACACACTCACACACAAACACACACACACACACATATATATATATATATATATATATATATATATATATATATATATATATATATATATATATATATATATTATGTATATTGTGCAAAGCGAATGTCTGGTTTTATATGATATTTTTAAAAAAAGGGTACCCCCTCCCCTGTGATTCACTCGGACAGGATCTTTCATTTCTCTTCCTAACTTTAGAATCGCGTTATCTTTCCAACATTTCTCTCATCGATTAAAAAAAATATTTTAGCCAAGTTAAGAAATAGAGAAACATGCAGAGGATTCTCATTTTCAAAAGCTGCCCGAATATTACAGGACTTGTGGTGGCAGACTACAGTCAGACAAACAGAAGGCACAGAAAATGCGACCCGGGCAGAGTTCTAAATTTGCGTGGGACATTCTCTTGGCCTCTGGTGTTGGCATTACAATGGATTCACAAACAGTCATTCAAAAACCACCTGCACAGTTTTCGTGGACAAGATAAGACATATAAAGAAACATTGCTATCAGGGCACTATAACCACCTGTTTTTTTCTGAAACTACTCTTGATGCTCGATTCACTTATAAACATTCATCATCATCATCAATGCCTTTCACCCCTGGCAGGGTATAGGCCACATACAAGCTCCTAATGGTTTTTGCTTGTATGTGTTTCTGTAACAGGTTCTTTTTACGAGAGAGGTTGTTAGCCTCGTGACTCAACCCCCGACCTGGAGGCAGGATGACTCTGTTTCAGGAGTTACTACCCGGTTCGCCATTTAGTCGCCTCGTACGACACGCTAGCACCACGTCAGTCCTATTCTTCTCAATGCCGAGACTGCACGGCTAACTTATAAACATTGAACCCGGTAAAGTAGCACCATCATACTTTCATATTGTTCAGGGTGTTGTTCTGAACCACCATCGTTGGCAGCAAAACACAAAAAAGACACACAGCTAAGTGAAATAAAAAATGGTATGGGTTTAACGCCCCTTTCAACACTATTAGGTTATTTAAGAGGCAGGGCCCCCTAGTTTTTTTAAAAAATAGTAGAGGGTTTTACGGCGCTCGCAACTGCATAAGGTCGTATGAGCGCCAAAGGGTGGGTGTCAACAGAGAATTCTTTACATGGAATCAGACTTATTCTGCTCACCTCTCTAGCTTCAACAGCACAAGGTCTGCTTCGACTATCAAGGCGCCCGGGAAATAGCAAGTCACAAGAGAGTGACAAACATACAAAAGAAGTAGAGGAAAATGACAATAGTAAGGATTAAGAAAGAAAAAGCAGCAGTTCCCTGTTGTAGATCAAGCACAGATATGAGCGTGACATGAATCAGCCCATCTACAATTCTACTATGCTTGAACGAGAAATGCCCCCCCCCCCCTTTTGGGAATGGCCTAAAGACACTACAGTCAGTGGCACTGCCCCGTGGGGTGGCCACTTAGTTTAACGTCCGTCTCACAGCTTAGTGAGCAATCAGGGAAAGACTAAAGTATAAAGGAGTTTAATCGTCACAACGTATTATGGCAAAAACTGGGCCCGTGGGGATCGAGGAACTAAATGCGGAGATTAGACATTTAGAAGGTTGCGTAGTACTTTCTGACTCTGAAGAGGAGAGAATTGACTGACCAGAACCGACGGAGAAAGAAGATAGGTTGTCTGAGTTAGAGCATGAACCCCTTAGCCCCAGGACTGACCCTATCTGTTCTCATTTAGACAGCATACCTGACTCCCACAACATCACACCGCAGGCATACGACAGCCGCTCTTTCATTGGCAATCACTGCCACAAATACATAGTATAGTATAGTATAGTATAAGGTTTTACGGCGCTCGCAACTGCTAAGGTCATATGAGCGCGCGAAACACAAGTTGTTCACTTTCGCAAAAATTCACTTCACGACTGGTTAACTAATTTACTTTAAAATGCTAAAAAGTTAAAATATTTAAATTCGGTGTAAATACATTTGTGATTTAAAACAACTCTTTTAAGTAACAGTGAACACAAATACATCATGAGTCGTTTATAAAGACCTCACTGCATTTATTGTAAAAGAAATTGTAGAAAATACCGACAGCCAAAACATCATTGACACCGCTTACACTCTGGGAGACAAATTCAGTCAATTAAACAATGCATTTAAGGACGTCCACATTCACATCTCACACGGCCAACCAGTGTCAAAATACAAACAATCTCACATTGACACATGCATCAAAACTTACATGTCATTCTACAGGAGACACTTTAGTGAAAAAGACTTCCCAAACACCACATTCTAGAAAACCACTGCATCCCGTGGATACAAACATATGGCTTGGGTTTGGCTTTACAAGGGGGAACAGGGTGGTGAACGTATCCTTGCTTCTGTGGCAAAGCTAGAGAGAAGAGGAGCTGGGATACGTAATATCGAACAACAACTGAAAGTTGTGATGCAATCACAGCACCTCATGTCAAATCCAGAACTATTATTCAACGTGCCTCCGACAAAGAAAAAAAAGTTGATACCGCAATCAACTCTTCTCTACTCCAAAACTTGAAACAAAAACAACAAAGTGAGTTTTGGTATTTGACCATTTCTGGTGTATTTTTTTGTGAATTTGAAGAATTTTTTGGGTTTTGTATGACTGAAATGTTGATTTAAAAATCTGCCCCCCCCCCCGAAAAAAAACACAAACAAACAAACAAACAAACAAACAAAACAAAACAAACAAACAAACAAACAAAACGAAAGGAAACCACAAAAACTAGACAAAAACCCAACAAGCAACAACAAACCAACAGCACCCCCCTCCCCCCTCCCCCGAAAAAAACCCCACCAACCACAACAGCAACCAAAATTCCAATCCCCAGAAAAAACAACAAGAAGAACAAAATGGCACTTTAATATACCCTCGGGGAATAGAAACGATTGACCCGTGGTTTCTCTCAGATCGATAATCTGGACCGAAGTCACGTAACTCGTGATGTCACCGTTTTTTTAAAAACAGAAAAGAAGAAGCAATATCGTTGGAGAAGTACTAGATCTAGAAGTTATAAACAGATTATGGCCGAAAGATGTGAGCCTC